CATAAATGTGGCAGAGGCTTTAAAATACCATGAATGGACATATGCTATGAAGGAGGAGATCAATGCCCTCCATAAGAATCAAACATGGGAGTTGGTGGATCTTCCAATAGGGAAAGACCCAGTTGGGTGTAAGTGGATGTTTACAGTGAAACACGAGGCAAACGGGACAACTGAAAGGTACAAAGCAAGGCTGGTAGCTAAAGGGTACACCCAAGTTTATGGTGTTGACTATGATGAGGCATTTGCTCCAGTAGCCAAGATAAATTCAATACAGGTTCTTCTATCATTTGCTGCAAAACCTTGATTGAAAATTGCATCAATTGGATATAAAGAAGCATTTTTAAATGGTGATTTGGAGGAGGAGGTGTACATGGTTCAACCTCCTAGTTTTTATGCCAAAGGAAGTGAAAGTAAGGTGTGCAAACTAACAAAGTCTCTCTATGGTCTAAAACAATCTCCTCGAGCGTGATTCAGTAAATTTCATATGGCAGTTCAACAAATGGGGTTCAAGCAATGTCAATCTAATCACACTTTCTTTGTGAAGAGATGTCAAGAACAAGTGGCTCTGTTGATAGTGTACGTAGATGATATCATCATTATAGGAAACTGGAGCACAAAAATACAAAAGTTAAAGGAATTCCTAGCTTCTCAATTCGAAGTGAAAGATCTGGGCCCCCTAAAAGTACTTTATTGGAATTGAGGTTGCCTGCTCAAAAAGGGGCATCTTCATCTCTCAAAGGAAGTATATCCTAGATCTGTTATAGGATACAGGCAAGCTAGGTGCAAAACCAGCTGATACCCCTATGGATGTTGACCATAAACTGGGAAATTGTGATGGTGAACCACTAAAAGATGTGAAACAGTTTCAAAGATTAGTGGGAAGGTTGCTTTATTTGTCCATGACACACCCTGTCATTGCTTACTCAGTCGGAGTCCTAAGCCAATTCATGCATTCCCCTAAAAGACCACACATAGAGGCAGCATAGAGGATTCTTAGGTACTTGAAGAAGCATCCAGGAACAGGATTACTATTTAGCAAACATAATCATCTGAAGATGGAAATCTACACAGATGTTGACTGGGTAGGTGCTGTGGATGATAGAAAATCCAAAAGTGGGTATTGTACCTTTGTAGGAAGAAATCGAGTGACATGGAGAAGTAAGAAGTGAAGTGTAGTGGCAAGGTCAAGTGCTGAAGCAAAGGATAGAGCAATGGCACATGGGGTGGATAAAATTCTTTGGCTGAAGAATCTTTTAGAGAAACTTGGGGTTATTGTTCACAATCTTATGTCCCTCTACTGTGACAACAAGGCAGCCATTAACACTACTAGTAATTCAGTCCTACATGATAGGACCAAGCACATTGAGGTGGACAAGCACTTCATAAGAGAAAAGTTAGAAAAGGGAGAAATTTGCACCCCTTATGTCAAATCCAAGGAGCAACTTGCTGACGTTCTCAGAAAAGGACTTCCACACCTGCGGCACAATGAGTTGTGTGACAAGTTGGGTATGATAGTGTAAAGAGACTGGGCCGAATGGGCCCTAACAGCCTCTTATGTGATATCCTTTATTTTATCTTTTATTTTATGTTGATGGGCCTCACTTAATGGGCCTGTTATTTGTTCTTATTTTATTCTCTTTATGTAACTGCCAAGCTGGCTGCCCACTTAAGGGTATACTTATCATCAATTTGTTTTAGAGACTAATAAAAAAATAGGGTTAGAGGAGAAGGAAGACTGATTCGACTTCTTCTCTTATCTCTTCTCTTCGACATACACAGCTCTTGCACTATCATTCAGATCTGATTTGTACTGTTAATCACTGATTTTAAACCTGATATTAGAGGACTGATTCACATCTGATAGATATATTCAACCTAACTTGAGGGGGAGTGTTGTTAGACTTAAGCTGTTTTTTATTCATGCTGTTAGAATGCTGTCAGCCTAGACTGCTGTCAAAATGTTATTTTCTTTATGTTTTAGGGTGTGCCGCCAGGGACCTACTTGCAAATTCTCTACTTTTTATTTTTGTTATAACCCGTTAAAATAAAAGAGATGTTGGGTGCCGCCAGCACTGATTTCTTCGACTCTCACATTTTTCTCTTCTTCTTCTCCTCTCCTTTCTTCTCTCCTCTCTCTCTTCTTCCTCTTTTCTTGTAAGATTACAGGGATAAATCACTCAACTATTGACTTACAAGTTGAAGAAGACTCGAAGGTTGCAATTGCTTGGGTAAATAACAACAAAGAAGGATCATGGAAATAAAGACATAATAAGGTCAGTAATCACCTGGATCAGGGTTTGGCAAAGTTTGCATTGTATAGAAATCAAATGTATAGGGGTATCATACCAACTAAGAGAAACAAGTTACCTAAAATGGGTTCAAGGCACTAAAATGCCGAAAATATGCAGTTTTTTTCTTGACAACTATATTCCATAACCATGACAAAGCAAATAAACAAAGTTGACTAGAAATACAGCAGATGAATGCATGAAGACATAAAATGACTCATCATCCAGTGAACAACAGGTTCCTCATCACAGGGATACAAGGCAAGGCCCAAGATGTATGCCACTGCATATATTCTAGTAAAATGTGACCAGTTTTATGGTTAAGTGAAATTGGCGACCAACACAACTCACTGTAATATCTGGAATATTTGAAGGAGGGTTCATATCCCATCAGTAGTTATACATGAAATAAGAGAGTCAGATGGAGAATGGTAAAAAAACAAAAACAGGGCTTCTTTCAAATACCATGCCGAGAGATAAAGCCATTTGTACTTATGAGTAGCTTAATTAAATCTAATTGAATGCACTAAGAAGTTTAAATGATTCAATAATGGACTCAAGATTCTTCCTTTCCTTCATTTTAAAAGATAATTAGAGGCACGTGGAAAAGATTAAGTCATCTGGACTATGAGTGGCTTAATTAACTTTGAAGGAATGCATTAAGCTACAGAAAAGAAAATAAGAGGTATTTCTGCCATTCCTTCACTTGAAAAGAAAATTAGAGGTATTTCAAAATATTAGAGATACTCAAAAGCTACAGAAAAATTGTCAACATTACATGTTTCTTGAACATTTTCAAGCATAATACTGGTCAAATGGACTTGCATCCATGACCAAGAACTTATTCCAACTTCTGAAATGAATTCTAAATTCTAGGTTCTAACTACTTGAAAAAGATGGGATGGTTAACAAACACTTGAGTTCTAACTTAGTCAAATGGACCTGCAACCATGACAAATGGCAAAGGGACTCACTCCAACTCCTGAAATGAGTGCAAATTTCTAGGTTCTAACTAGTTGAAAAAGCTGGGATGGTTCTAACTACCCAGACCACATGTACACCTTTTTGCTTAGGTGTCTGTCGCCTTGAAAACAATGTTACGAACACACTCAAGTCTAGTCCTATTCTTTCTAGTTTTGCCACTCATCCATCTCAAAGTTCAATACCTTTGCCACACTTTTTGAAAATCTTGCTTCTTGACTGCCAAAAACTCTGCTCCGTGCAACGCTGTTGGCCTTATAGTATCTTATAAAATTTTCCTTATATCCTGGTTGATATTCTTTGGTCACACAAACACTTTGGAATCTGATTTAGTCCACGGATTCCACTAATTTTACATCTACGCTCTCCCACATGTATGCGGTCTTGCTTTGTTACGCTTAGAATGGAGCATCCAATGGACCTAAACATGTGCAGAGACATCCACAATTATGAGAGAGGGGAAGGATGGTTGTATGATTAACCTCATCTTTAGCAAAATAATTGGTTCTTTCAAATAAAAGCTTAAAATGAAGGTCTCGGTTTTTTTTTTTTTTTTTTTGATCAACTATAAGCAAAAAAATCAATCAAGCTATGCTTATGACCAAAATAAATAAATACACAAAATTAGAAATTAGAGAAAAAAACATGAAGCATGAAGACAAAATAATCAATGCTCAAAATCCAGTAAAACAAATCAAGAATCATTATTTAATTTACTCAGGGCCCATAGGCTTTGGAATTCTACAAGAGTTGAATTGTCAGCAATCAGGGACTAAGGTTGGGAAGATCTCTCAACCTTATAAGTATATTGGCTGAGGGGGAATCTTGGGTGGTTGTAGTTAGTCAAGCATTGTAGCTGAAGGTCTGCAAGTAGTTTGGCTCATTGGCTGATGCAATGGCCAAACAAGGGGTGAACATGGCCTATCTATCTTTGGGACAGTTGTATATTGAACGATTGTAAGCACTAAGCAAGAAGCTAGGTAGCATATGATAACCTACACCTACAGGGTGCTTAACCCTTATTGTATGTAATTTGTTCTTTTTCCATAATCAATAAAATTAACAGTTTCCAATTAACATAATGTGCATGAACTAAACAAAGAAAAAGAAGCATTTGACTTCTAAGAGAAAGATGCCAGATTTTTTTTTTTTTTGATGAATGGAGAAAGATGCCAGATTCATTATAAACTGATCCCTATGCAATGTACAGTGTTAAACTTAATTTCCAAAACTCAACCACATTGCAGGGATTTTGCATTTCTAAGCATGTATATTGATAAAGAATGGAGTCTCACTCTTTATTACCATCTAGAAGCACTTTTGGTGAATTTTTTTCATCCATAAAAGGTCAGACATAATGACCACCCAATAATTGAACTGGAACAGAAAAAAAAAAAAAAAATCACTTCCCAGATTGCATTATTGTTCTTTGAGTAGACCTTGATGCCTCATTCAACAATTAAACTAAGCTGTTGTCCTTAGAGCAATGGAATTTGCTGTTGTTGGTGTACTGAGAACTTAAAGACTTCCAATCCTTAACAAAACCAGTTCACATAAATAAATAAATTTCCCTAAAGCCAACTATAAAATATAAGCAGCCATCTAATCCTTAGGTAAATAGAAATCCAAAGAAATTTCAATTAAAACATGTAACTATGAGGAACCAGAATTTAAGGGAAAAACTACTTTGCACATCAACTATAAACTTTGTAGTTCAGATGCTTGTACTACCAGAATGTACACGTCCCGGCCCTGCACAAAAATCCTTACTGTCAATAGCCTTCTTTGAGTACAATACAAGTTCAATGAAATGCATGTACAAAGACAAACTGTTTCACAACATAATAACCAAAGCTGAATGATGTAACATGAAACTTTAGGATCCTATCCTCAAGATGTCTAAAAAACTTGTAACCAATCAACCAGGATCATAAAAGTGGTAACCTAAATAGCTGATATTTATCAAAACATCAAAATTCACTTTTGAAAGGGGGGGGTTGATTGGTCAAAGTTATTGGTAGATTTCATCAAAATAAGCGAAGCAATCATGTCTGTTCGGTGAATAATGTTTCAGTTAATAAATTGGTAATCGATCAACAACAACAACAAAACCCCATGTAATTATATGGTGTTGGCCACATATTTAGGCAGGGCATAATGCAAGGCTAAGAACCCAGTAGAAGTTATGAGGCTCATAAAGACCTGGGCACCTGGAAGTCCATTATACCAACTAAACAGCATTCTCAAACTCTCTCTTTGCCCCACAAGTTTGAAGAATGGCTAGCCCAATGCAATAGTAAAACTACTCTTCCTTAGGCATATAAATTACTTTTTTCTTTTTTCTTACATAAAAAAAAAAAACAAATTACAGTGGTGACTTTTAAAAGTTAGGAGAAATTACTCCTATAACTAACTCCATGAAAATAGTTGTAGTGTCAAAAACAGACAAATCACAATCAAGATCCAAAGAGATCTATCTTTTTCATTAGTAAATCACTAGTTTAAGTGCTTAAACTTTCCAATTTTATCTTTGACATGGGAGCCTAACCATTCATCACTTCAGTGATAGCACTTTGGCTATGAAACAACAGCCTACAGTTTGAATCATGCAGCAATGAAGATCTTAACTCTCTTGCAAACTTGAATAGATATTAATTGCAAGAAAGTTTACACAAAAAAAGCTGCAAATATTAATCAAACTTCCACAACAGAGAGAACTTAAATTGGATTGAAGACATAAATTAGTATTTTTGGCTTATAGTAGCTATCCAATTATACGCAGGAGAATCGCACTACTAGGTTGCCTTTCCATGCTCCTTTCACTACAAACATGTGTGAAAGAAAAGGTAAAACATCTAATGCAATTCCATATTCCCAATCTCAGTTCCCAGTATATCCATCAAAAAAAATCTCAGTTCCTAGTAGTATATTATATCTCACATCACTAAGAAATTAAAAAGAGCTTTTGTTCATGGAGAAACCAATGGTTTTGCAATTTGCATGTCAGTGCAAGTCCTATAACTGCAAATAGGAGGTAGCATCAGGTTGGAAGAAGGCACAAACCACTGCAATTTCTTTTTCATCTTGAATCCTGAATTGATGTCTTAGTAAGCAAGAATCATGTGGCTGGAAGAAATAATTAGGATTAGACTTGGGTGATGAAGAGGATTAGATAAAACATGGAACATTCATAACCATCAAAAGTTGACCCACTAAATCAGACAAACTAGGGAGCTCCAGGTTTAACACAGCACCTTCCTTGGTCATACATTTACATTTGCCCCAAAAGGTTGCCTATAGAGGGGGAGGATCTGTAACCATGTTCAGTTCGTGTGGATGGCGTGGTGACCAGGTTGCAGTCGGAAAAAAAAGGAGGCTGACATTGATCGGGATCATAAGAAAATTCTAATTGACCCTGCATCTAGCAGGGTGAAGGAGAAAGGAGGAAAGGTGGATATTGAGAGTTTGGAAGGCAGGGATGTTAGGGTTGGACAGAATTTAGGCCTATTTTTTTGTGAGGAGAGGAGTTTTCTAGAAGGGCTTTGAAGCTTTTGAAAGAAGCAAGAGAGAAGAGAACCTCAAGAAGCCCATTGTAGGTGAAGGTGGAGAGGCGTGGAATGAGGCTGATGATGGGCACGACGATGCTTTTGAAGTGGAAGATTAAGCTCGCCGGGGCCTTCTATTGTTTTCTGCTCTGTAATCATTGATCTGCTTTGTTGTTCTGTTGTTGGGGTGTTATCTTAACACCCAATTGGTGCTTGTATTCGTTTTCTTTTTCCTTTTAATGAATTTTATTTTTACCTATCAAAAAAAAATTAATGAACCTAACCAAAGAAACTATTAGAATTGTATAGAAAACAAATAAATCATCACCAAAGTGTAGAATAGTCAGTAAGAAAATGACAAAGATTTCTCGATCATCCTTCTGATAGGGAGTCATTGTGTAATAAAAATATTTATATGAGTTCTAATTATCTACAATTATCTTTTTCTTTACCTCATGGATTTTGCCCTGATCTTCCTTGTTGAGGTTCCCTCTGTCTCTTGCATCTTTTTTTTTCATTTTGGAAGTAAAATTTCTTTGTTATCAAACAAAGAAAATGATAGTGCAGATATCCCTTCAGATATATAAATGTTATCTTTGGATAACAAGGTTTCCAAGTTGGAGAATGATGGGGTGTCTCTTACTCAGCAGGGTGAGATTGCTAGGGCCTTTGTGGAGCATTTTAAGTCTATAATCAAAGGCCCTTAAATCAGAGAATCTGGATAGAAGACTTGGATTGGCCAAAATTGTCTGAGGAGGCTAAGAAGTGGATTGAAAGAAGTTCTGAGCTGGAGAAAATAAGGGAAGCAATTTTTTCTATAGATAGATCCAAAGCACCAGGACCGGATGGATTTACTATGGCCTTTTACCAAGACTGCTGGGAGGTACTAAAGTTGGATATCCTTAAAATCTTCAATGAATTCTTCCAGAGGGGGGTGATAAATCCAGGGCTGAACTCAACTTTTATTGCTTTGGTTCCAAAGAAAGTTGAAGCAAGTCACCCCAAAGACTTTAGACCCATCAGTTTGATTAATAGACTATATAAAATTATTGCTAAGGTCCTGTCTAAAAGAATTAGAGAGGTGCTAACAGGGTTAATATCATAGAATCAAGGGGCTTTTGTGGGAAGTAAACAAATTGTGGATCAAACTTTAATTGCCAATAAGTATGTGGAGGATCTGAGGAGGAAAAGAAGAAAGGGATTGTAAGTTGGACTTGGAGAAGGCCTATGGCATGATAGATTGGTCTTTTTTTTTATGTAAGTGTTGGATTGTTTTGGATTTGGGGAGAGATGGTGCAAATGGATCTTGGGGTATATTGAGACATGTCACTATTCCATCTTGGTGTATGGAACTGTAGTGGACCACTTCCTGGCTATTAGGGGAATTAGGTGACCCTCTATCTCCTTTCCTTTTTACCTTGATTGCAGAAGTTTTGGGGAAATTAATAGAGAGAGCAAATGCGAGGAGCCTTGTGAGGGGGGGTGAGGGTTGGAAAAGATAGTATTCCTATCACTCACTTGCAGTTTGCTAATGATACGATTTTGTTCTGAAGGGGGAGGATGTGAGGTGGGCCAGAAATATGAAGTTGGTGGTTCAAGTGTTTGAGAAAATGTCTAATATGAAGGTGAATTTTCATAAGAGCTGTGTGGTGAGGATCAATACAAAGAGAGCTATAATGGAGAGGGTTGAAGCCTTGGAAAAAGAATTTAGCCTCTTGGAAAAAAAATTACTTATCTTTGGGTGGTAGGATCACATTGATTAAGTCTACATTGGCTAGTTTGCCAGTGTATTACTTATTAGTCTTTAGGATCCCAGTAAAGATAAGTAGGGTCTTGGAAAAGTTGGTGAGGAACTTCTTGTGGGAACTAGGGGAGGAGAGGAAGGATCACAAGGTGAATTGGGAAATAGCCTCCACAAGTAAGGCTGATGGGGGTCTAGGATTAGGTAACTTTCGAAAGAAAAATGAAGCTCTGTAGAGTGTGCAAGGAGTATCAGAAGGGGCAGACCGGGAGAACCGGAAGCAGAGCAGGAACACACCATCAAGGGGTGAACCAGGGGTAGAGTGGAAAGATCACCAGGGTGACCAAAGGACTGAAGTACTTCCCGACCAACTCAGGGAGATAAATATTTACCAACCTCTGGAACAAGAGAGGGAGGCAGGGAGCAGTCCTTTTCTAGCTTGTCCATCAATCCCAGGTAACCAAGTGATTTCGGTTTGTGCTACTAATGTGTCTCCAGTGTCTTTGGTTCTAGATTTCGTTCCCGTTCCATGTCCTGTAGCCCATGAATATGTAGCTGAGCCAACAGACGGGCTCTCCGAGGAGGGAGAGACCGGAAGGAAGGAAGGTGGGAAGGTGCCGGAAGGTGCCGGAAGGAAGGTTTAGGAGTGAAAAAGTATGGGAAATTATTGAAAGAGTGCTTAAGGAAGTGGAAGGAGAGCTGATCTGGAGAAGGGAAGGGGAGGTAGGAAGAGGGGAGGGGTTAGTGGAGAGGAGGAAAAGGAATGAGGGTAGA